AATTCATGGTCTGTATACGTTTGTTTTGTTATGTTTCACCACTAAAAATAGACGTTCACAGGAACACACAGAACGTAACTTAAAAGGTTAAAATGTGTCAACGATGAAATAAATAGATAAAAAATAAGATAAAATAAGATAAAGTGAAAAGTTAAAGATGTCGCTGTTAAACACGATGCCATATATTTGTTTACAACTCCATTTAATGTAAATAATCATGAATCAAAGGGGCATCACGTGAAGAGACATATTTTTTAATGAATGTAGGTGTTGTATGCACTTCCAATTATGTTACCTTGCTATCCCTATTTTCATAGTCCGTTCCAAATCACCAGTTTGACCACTTGATTTGTTCGGGAAAGCCCTGTTAAAAATAGCGCAAATAACGTCACGTGACGGTTTTGAAACGAGGCAGTAAACACAGGTGATCTGACCGAGATGCTAAGTTTCAAAAGGGGCTCCATTGATTCTTTCGCTCTATGAAATCAAGAAATATGATTTCTATGTCCGTGTCGAAACTGATTTAATCCCCTAAGCAATAATTATTCATCATTAGAAGTTAATTGTACACATGCCAGTTTTCAACATTTAAATGAGGAAATATTTGTTAGCATCTCGGCAGCATTTATAGACACCAGGAAATATATATTACCGGAATGTCACCGGTACAAACGGGTACGGGGCTAAGCACCTTCCCTTAATCATGGGACAAGCCTTTTTGTAAAAAGGAATATTCACGAGACGAATATCCTTTTTCAAATGTTTTCATAAAGTGTATAATATATGCATTGACAAGTATAAAAAAAGGAATGTTTGTGATTTTTCTTATTACAACTCAATGTCTTTGGCCACATTTTTTCTTGACCATGCATATATATGTATTCATGTATACTCTCTTTTCCACTTTCAAATTGCGAACACGATTTAAGAAAAGTTGAAAAATAGTGTTGATTCGTGCTCGACTTTGTGGTTTATGCAAATTTCTTTACGAAACACGACCCTCATACGACACTCATACGACTGAACACAACACACATACGACCGTCATAAGATATTCATACGATACAACACGATTAAACTTCATTTAACACGACCCCAATACGACTGTCATACGACCAAACACGACTGTCATACGACGCCCATACGACTTAACACCAACCAACATGACCGCCATACGATTAAACACTAATTATACGATCTCCATACGACTGAGTAAGACCTTCATATGACATTTTTTTGTTTATTTTGGTCATGTAGTAAATAAGCTGCATTGCAACAGCATTTCTTGATGATGACGGGAAGGATGCAGCGTAGGCGTCGCAGAGTGAGGAAAAGGGAGAGATTCTGGGTTCGACCATGGTTGTTGAGGAGACATCTTTATGGGCAGTATGAACACCTTATGCAATAACTGTATCGTGAAGATGTGAATACATTTACCAACTTCTTGCTTGTCACTCCGGAGATGTTCATGGAGCTAGTAGAACGCGTTGGTCCTCGTATTGAAAAAGAGGACACCTTCCGGATAAAAGCCCTAGAGCCTGGACTTCGCCTAGCTATAACACGGCGTTATATGGCCACTGGAGACTCCTAATGATCACTTCAATATGGTTTTAGAGTGGCTGTTAATACCACGATTGTCTACGAAACATGTGAGGCTATTGCACAAGAGTACACAGAAGAGGTCATGCCGACACCAAAAAACCCAGAGGCTTGGAAGGAGGTGGCTGAAAAGTTTTCAACGAGATGGAACTTTCATAACTCTCTTGGTGCAATAGATGGAAAACATGTAGCTATAAAATGTCCATGAAATTCAGGCTCTTTCCCTTATAACTATAAGGGTTTCATCTTTATCATACTCCTCGCAATAGTTGACGCTGCATTCAAGTTTCTGTATGTTGACATTGGGACAAATGGTAGTTACTCATATGGTGGTGTCTTCAAGGACTGCGACATCTATCAGGCACTTGATCAAGTCACTGCAGGTCTTCCAGAACCACAACCTCTTCCAAACGATGATCTACCCCTGTTATTCGCAATTATAAGAGATGATGCCTTCGCTCTACGTCACTTGGGTTGATGGATGAAATTGATGTTTTTTCCTTCTTATTTGGTCTGCCTTTGCTTGGTTGGTTTGGGTCCGGTTAGCTCAGCGGTATCAGCGACACCATCATGATCTGGCCCGGTTAGCACAGTGGTATCAGCGACACCATCATGATCTGGCCCGGTTGGCTCAGCGGTATCAGCGACTCCATCATGATCTGGCCCGGTTAGCACAGTGGTATCAGCGACGCCATCATGATCTGGCCCGGTTAGCTCAGAGGTATCAGCGACACCATCATGATCTGGTCCGGTTAGCACAGTGGTATCAGCGACACCATCTTGTTCTGGCCCGGTTAGCTCAGCGGTATCAGCCACACCATCATGATCTGGCCCGGTTAGCCCAGCGGTATCAGCGACACCATCATGATCTGGCCCGGTTGGCTCAGTGGTATCAGCGACACCATCATGATCTGGCCCGGTTAGCACAGTGGTATATTCAGTGGTAGATTGATGTGAAATTATTCAGATGCAGATGAAGTTGTAGGTGATGGTGATGGAATGGACTATACCCCTGCTCAGATGGCTGCTGAGGTGGCTGGATGTCAGTTTCAGTTGTTGTTTTTGTTGTTGGCGATTTTGGTGGTGGTTCAGAGGTTTCAGCTGGCTCATCTTGTCCCTGGGTACCGGGTGGATGTTCATCCATGGTTGGTGGTGAAGGATGTTTCCCTTTCGAAGGTTTTGCTTGGAGGAGCTTCCGTGTACATGTAGATTATATGTGTCAGATATGGAACGTGTTGAGATACCTGATAATTATATGTTTTCAATACTTTACAGAGAATAAAGCATACTTGTAAATGGACCTTTTTTATGTTGAGATAACTTTTCTTAATCAGTTCCTTTTGTCCGAAACAGAAGCCGTAAAGTTATCGGTAGCTCGCACCATTTTTACAACGTAAACAAATGACTTTTTCCCCCGTTTTCAATGCGTATTCCGATTACATCTGAAGTCGAAAATTAGTTTTTCATAGACAAGGGGAGGGGGTAAAATTAACTATAGTTTATATAGGGAAATAACACTTTTGGGTATATTTTGGCAATTTTCAGTACGAAATTATTTTTACTTGGTGAGAATCATCTTTGGAGGAAGATGATATCAATTGTAAAATTCCTGCCCCAACCCAAGGGCCGGTGCCCCAAAGGGAAAATTAACCAATATTTCAAAAATCTTCATCTTCAGACTCAGAGGTACTTCAGTCAAGTTCTCTGCATGAATAGAAAGATCATCAGGGGCTTTATTTAAATTGTAAATTTCAGTACCCCAGGGCCATCCGATCATACATTATAAGTCAACATCATATGAAAACATGAACTGTTGAGATATTACGATTAAAAAAGTATATTTTGTATGCGATCCTATTTACTATAAGTAGGTTCTCCATCCTCAGTTATTCATCTTGAACCGTCATTTTGATATATTTAAATCTTGCTTGTGAATAAAAAATCGTTTACTTCAGCAATATAATAAAATCATATCCTTTTACTGAACCCGGGAATATTATAAATTATGTAAATCTAATAGCGCACGTATCTCATTTGACCCCGAGTACCAACATATCACAACAGTTATTCCTTGGAGGGCCCCATAGCAAAATCAAACTAACCAGTCACTTATCTCTTCCTTTCGCATTTATATAGCAACCCAAAGTAAACTCTCTCCGATACATACCCATTAACAAAATAATGTCATCTGTGTTCCAACTTATACAAAGACACATTTATAACATAAACAGCTTGTCTGTCGATTCCGCTTCAGCTTGAAACCGGCTATCCGGAAGAATACATGCACCGTACTAACTGCTAGGGCAGTTATATTCTCCTTTGAATACTTCCCACCTGTAATAATGATTCCGTAACGTACTCCTTGCGCTATCTTTTGACCATTTGGCAACTGTTTACTTCGTAGCTGACGCGGTAACGGTTTTCACTCGCTAACTTCCCACGGCCATTGTTTACAATAAAATGCGCATGCGTTACACAGAGAAATCCTTGAAACAAAACGTTGGTTAAGCGGCCATTTCACCAAGGATTGTTTTGGCCCCGATAGTACCCGATTCTTTTTTTGGTCGATCGGCAGCATTTTTGCGAAAATAGTCGGGAACCTGCGAGCACTGTCGAGCACTACCCTATACCTTCGGGTGAAGATCTGGCGCGATCGCCTGAGTCCTCCGAGGGTCGGGTACCAAAAAAAGTGATCGACTACTGTTTTTAAACATGTTGAAAAACAGTAGCCGATCAAAAACCGTCGTCCCGTGGTCGTCTTGGTCATAGTATTAATAATTGTTATTAAATACAACAGCAAGGGAGATATTTACACAAAATTATTGTAAATGATCAGAAATGTATACAGAACAATATCAATGCCAGAGAATTAAAACCAAAATGTTGTAATGAAACAAAACACATATAAAAATCCTTTAAAATGTCACAAAGTATCAATTGTTACTAAATACAACAGCAAGGCATATATTTACTCAAAATGGTTATAAATAATAATACATTTCTAAATTTACAAATTAATACCACTGCCAGAGAATTATAAACGAAATATAAGTTATAAAAATAAAAAGGGCTTACTTTTTCAGAACAGGTACTGGAATAAAACAGAGGTGAAAATCCTTTAAAGATTGGGTCTGGCTCAATTTATATAGTCGGGCCCCAAAAACACCGATCTCCGGCCGATTTAGGCAAATTTGGTCGGCCGAAGAACGTCCGAAGATCGTTTAAATCGTCCGAAGACCGTTTTCTTTCGGCTTCCTGCGGCTCCCTGCGTCAACATACGCCTACATTCGGCCAATCTCGCGCGAAGAACGGCGGAAGAACGGCGGAAGAACGGCGGGCATCTGCCGCAGAAAGGCAGAAAGAGTCCTCTCTCGAGTCGGGATCGCACATTTTCGACCACTGTCTGCCTCTCTCGGCCGAACAACGCGCGAAGATCGCTCTCTACCGGGCCTTTGCCGTGTACCTGTGGGTACTTGCGCGTTCTTTCGCATACTTGCGCCCCGGAAACGTGTCGATCGCGCGAGGAAAGTCCGTGATTCGACCCCCCGCCATGGTCCATTGGTCGGGACTCATTATGGTCAAAAAAGGGGACGATTGGAGGCGATTCAGGACGACAATCGGGCCGTCAAAAAAATTGATTCATCGGGGACAATCGGATCCAATCCAGGCCGATACATTGAATAGAGTAAGTTTGAAATATATACCCTCTATAGAGGAAGTATAACATATCAAATTAGCAAGCCCCTCTAATATGTTTAACCTCTTGATCGTAGCAGGCGACGTATGTGGTTCCCTGTAGAATCGGGGTTTCTTTTAGGCCTTGTATTAAGGACATTTAAGAAACGTTTGTAAAGATTACATTGATACACTGTGTGTTGCCCGTATTATATAAGCACATTGTATTGGGTCAGCCTAAAATTTCTATACTGCAAGAGGTAATTAATTGTAACATTAAAACACAATACAGAATAAATATATCATTGACATATTGTATACACTCAGTTTAACATTGATACACTGTATGAAATACTATGGATTTTATGTTTCCAGTATACGTTGGATAGAGTCATTTTAACATATCTAGTAATTGTTACATATATTTGTTGTTAGGGTCAGTGTATCAGATGACATATACAGGTGAGCTGTCTCGTGATTAAAATGTGCTGGCAGATTTTTTATCATCACCTTTTAATTACGCTGCAAATCACCTTTCTCTTCAACAAGACTTCCATCTGCTCGTGCAGAAGGTTTTACTACAGTAATATTTTCACGTGTTACATTTACATAAAACGTTACACTTACAAAAGTAAACAACATGTGACTGAAACTCGTGTGTCTCAGGTAGAGGCGGGTCCCTGTAGTACACCTGATTTATTATCATATGGGTAAACTTTTTCCAAACAAGCTGTGGCTGATATTTTCATGAGCCGTGACTTTCAAATCAGAAGAGATATATTTCCAGTTCGGTACGAACTGTTTTTATGGACACTGGATCACAGGTAAATCTTTAAAAAGTTGTATTTTAGGAAAACACTATGTGTGAATAATACTTTAGCAGGTTCTTACCTCCCGTCGTAAAGTAATGTAAATGCATGTATCAATTAATATTTCACAAATTATCATTCAAATGCATTGAGCTTGTTTTCTTATTGTTTTGATAACCTAACTAGTAAATTTAAGCCTTAAAATATTTTTTCATTGTAAGCCAGTACATATACAGTACACCCTCCTCGTTAGTCCAGGTCAGGGGCAACTTATAGTCAACTGTAACTGAACGATCGACTTAAAGTAGTCTGTTCATCGACATCAGCAACCATTTCCTGTGAAATGATGTGCTCTTATATATCATCATAGCTGCAGGAACGGTAAACGCCTTTTGACCCTAGATGATAATGACGAGTTATAGTTATTTTGATAAGTTACAAAAGAGATGGATTGCTAACGTCCAAAATTGTTACTTTATTTTGTTGCTTGTGTATACCCAAATCATCAATAATTGTATAATTATGCTAGTCACAATGTGATTTGTAGATAGTATACTATAGCCAAGTAAACAGCGTACGACAAATATAATGTACGGTATAGCTTCGTAGGATGCCCTTTCAAAACTAATTATAAGCATTTTAACATTTAGATAAAGCCATACTTATATCGTGTGAATGCTTGCTGACAGACCACACTTCCAAATAGTGTACTTCATCTTACAGAACGGGAAATATTAGCTACGACGGTGGGCAGCACGGGCACATGGACATGAAGGAAGCACAAGAGACTCCCTTTTTGAAACAAGGACAACAGAATACAGAAACTGGCATTACGAAGCGAGACCAATGGGAAAGAAAAACGGAGTTCCTGATGTGTGCTATAAGTGGTGCTGTAGGTATTGGGAACATATGGAGGTTTCCGTATCTGTGCTACAAAAATGGCGGAGGTAAAGTATTGTAATAGATACTGATGCAATACCGTTAACAAAGATCTTTTTAACTGATTACTATTGTATATGTAGATAGTTAAATTTGTTTAAACACAGCATGATTACAAGGTCATACATGATAATCAGACTAATCTTCAAATATTACATATTTATATATTGGCTTAAAACATATTCCCTGAATTAAAAATGTACACTTTTACTTTTCTGCCGTAACACATTAATGTGGTTTATAATTTGGCCACAGACCTTACAACAATTTGACCATTAAATTTCAACTTTACTGGTTCCCAATTTGTCTAGAAAGTTTAGCGTAGTTACTCATTATAATATACCAAATAATGTATACAGCTTTTTGAGTACCAGAACCGGAAGTGGGTTATCACTTCGGTATACTTTTTGACCTAGGTATACATTTAATAGTATGAAACATTGTTTATTTTGATAACATGATGCACCCTGTCGTACACCTATGCTTGTCGGCACTAAGAAGGTCATTACACGGGCCGTGGGGACCTTTTTAAACTTTTAAACATATATCGTAGGTCGTGTTTTAGGGTACTACAAATTATTTCCTGTTATTAGTAAATTGGTTTTGTGGGAAATATTCGTTTGTTTATGTACCAGGTCCCTACATTCTGGTTTGCAATGATGTAAATGATATTTATCAATTATGCTGTATATCGGTAAACCAGTCACCAAGGATTAGCCATTGCATGGGGTTTCTAACTAATTAAAACAAAACATTGTCATTTAAAAGTACTGTTAAATGGGTTTTGACTGGCAAATGAAATTACTTTTTTTGCCAATTCTATTTTTTCCTGAAATAAAGAAAATTCATTATATTAGTTTGAGAATTGTTTCAGATCTAGGATTTTCAGCCTATAACCCGTGACAATCTACACTATGTTGTATTTGGGTTATTTGTTTCAGATCTAGGATTTTCGGCCTATAACCCGTGACAATCTACACTATGTTGTATTTGGGTTATTTGCATACCTATTACAATCAAAGTTTATCTATTTATATACAACCAATTCTATTTTTCTATGTGACGTTTCGATGACTAGTACGATATGTACACTGTCACCTTCATCAGACAAATGACCAGTGAAGCGTATGCACACGAAGGTGTAAAATGTGAACGAGTTGTCAGTTGTTCAGCTGAATCGAGTCATTTCGGTACATATATAACAACAATTGTACATACGCTTACAGCGTAGCCGAAATCGACATCGATTTTGTGGACAACTCGTACATATTTTACACCTTTGTGTGCATACGCTTCACCTGGCATTAGTCTGATGAAGGTGGCAGTGTACATATCGTACTAGTCAACGAAACGTCACATAGAAAAAAAGTATTGGTTGTGTAAAAAGAACTTTTCATAATCCATACTTACCAACCTGAAACAAATGTTTAGAAATATTTATTCATCCTTATTATGTTATGTTGCAGGCGCTTTCTTGATACCCTACCTAGTATTTCTAGTGTTGGTTGGATTACCCATGTTTATATTGGAGATAGGCTTGGGACAATACATGCAAAAGGCTGGATTTGAATTATGGAACATATGTCCCATATTCAAAGGTAAAAATATACGACCACATTTGTTTTTGTTTGCCAGAAAAAAGAAAAGCATGCCAATGTGTGTATCCATGGTACTGTTTCAAAAGTAAACGAACACTCAGGTATAAAATCATGTTCCGGTTTTAACATTTAGGGATATTTATGTATCAGCAGGCCCTTTTCTCTTATTTCTAAAAAAAACACAGTATATGTAACAGTTGTGAAGTTTTTCACGTGTAAACATATGCAAATATCGGTAGTTCTATATTGGTCATGCAAACAGTGTGTAACTAAAACAGACAACGGAACGATCCTGTATCTTCATGTACATTTACAATTAAAGTTTCTTGACAAGAATGTCATGAATGTATTACATATATTACTGGACACATAAATAATCTGCTTTCACGTTTTATAATGTGAGTGCATGATGATTTTCAAAGGATCTTACTGGAATCTAGCGTTACGATTTTATTCCGATATGGTTGTATCAGACATTGTATATGCTATTTGTGTTGCAGGCCTTGGTATATCAGACATTGTATATACTATTTGTGTTGCAGGCCTTGGTGTATCAGACATTGTATATGTTATTTTTGTTGCAGGCCTTGGTATATCAGACATTGTATATGCTATTTTTGTTGCAGGCCTTGGTGTATCAGCCATTGTAAATGCTATTTGTGTTGCAGGCTTTGGTATATCAGACATTGTATATACTATTTGTGTTGCAGGCCTTGGTGTATCAGACATTGTATATGCTATATTTGTTGCAGCCTTTGGTGTATCCGACATTGTATATGCTATTTGTGTTGCAGCCTTTAGTGTATCAGACATTGTATATGCTATCTGTGTTGCAGGCCTTGGTGTATCAGGCTTTTTATATGTTATTTTTGTTGCAGGCCTTGGTATATCAGACATTGTATATCCTATTTTTGTTGCAGGCCTTGGTGTATCAGACTTTGTATATGCTATATGTGTTGCAGGCCTTGTTATATCAGACATTGTATATGCTATTTTTGTTGCAGGCCTTGGTATATCAGACATTGTATATCCTATTTTTGTTGCAGGCCTTGGTGTATCAGACTTTGTATATGCTATATGTGTTGCAGGCCTTGGTACATCAGACATTGTATATGCTATATGTGTTGCAGGCGTTGGTGTATCGGACATTGTATTTGCTATTTTTGTTGCAGGCCTTGGTATATCAGACATTGTATATCCTATTTTTGTTGCAGGCCTTGGTGTATCAGACAGTGTATATGCTATATGTGTTGCAGCCTTTGGTGTATCAGACATTGTAAATGCTATTTGTGTTGCAGGCCTTGGGGGAGCAGACATTGTATATGCTATATGTGTTGCAGGCTTTGGTATATCAGACATTGTATATGCTATATGTGTTGCAGGCCTTGTTATATCAGACATTGTATATGCTATTTGTGTTGCAGGCCATGGTATATCAGACATTGTATATGCTATATGTGTTGCAGGCCTTGGTAGCCTTTGGTGTATCAGACATTGTATATGCTATTTGTGTTGCAGGCCTTGTTGTATCAGACATTGTATATGCTATTTGTGTTGCAGGCCTTGGGGTATCAGACATCTTATATGTTATTTGTGTTGCAGGCCTTGGTATATCAGACATTGTATGTACTAGTTTTGTTGCAGGCCTTGGTGTATCAGACGTTGTATATGCTATATGTGTTGCAGGCCTAGGTATATCAGACATTGTATATGCTATTTGTGTTGCAGGCCTTGGGGTATCAGACATCTTATATGTTATTTGTGTTGCAGGCCTTGGAATATCAGACATTCTATATGCTATATGTGTTGCAGGCCTTGGTGTATCAGACATTACAGGCCTTGGTGTATCAGACAGTGTATATGCTATTTTTGTTGCAGGCCTTGGTGTATCAGCCATTGTAAATGCTATTTGTGTTGCAGGCTTTGGTATATCAGACATTGTATATACTATTTGTGTTGCAGGCCTTGGTGTATCAGACATCTTATATGTTATTTGTGTTGCAGGCCTTGGTATATCAGGCATTGTATATGCTATATGTGTTGCAGGCCTTGGTAGCCTTTGGTGTATCAGACATTGTATATGCTATTTGTGTTGAAGGCCTTGGTGTATCAGACATTGTATATGCTATTTTTGTTGCAGGCCTTGGTATATCAGACATTGTACATGCTATTTGTGTTGCAGGCCTTGGTGTATCAGACGTTGTATATGCTATATGTGTTGCAGGCCTTGGTATATCAGACACTGTATATGCTATATGGGTTGCAGGCCTTGGTATATCAGACATTGTATATACTAGTTTTGTTGCAGGCCTTGGAGTATCAGACATTGTATATGCTATATGTGTTGCAGGCCTTGGTAGCCTTTGGTGTATCAGACATTGTATATGCTATTGGTGTATCAGACATTGTATATGCTATATGTGTTGTTGCAGGCCTTGTTATATCAGACATTGTATATGCTATTTGTGTTGCAGGCCTTGGGGTATCAGACATCTTATATGTTATTTGTGTTGCAGGCCTTGGAATATCAGACATTCTATATGCTATATGTGTTGCAGGCCTTGGTGTATCAGACATTGTATATGCTATATATGTTGCAGCCTTTGGTGTATCAGACATTGTATATGCTATTTGTGTTGAAGGCCTTGGTGTATCAGACATTGTATATGCTATTTCTGTTGCAGGCCTTGGTGTATCAGACAGTGTATATACTATATGTGTTGCAGGCCTTGGTATATCAGACACTGTATATGCTATATGGGTTGCAGGCCTTGGTATATCAGACATTGTATATACTAGTTTTGTTGCAGGCCTTGGAGTATCAGACATTGTATATGCTATATGTGTTGCAGCCTTTGGTGTATCAGACATTGTATATGCTATTTGAGTTGCAGGCCTTGGTGTATCAGACATTGTATATACTATATGTGTGGCAGGCCTTGGTGTATCAGACATTGTATATGCTATTTCTGTTGCAGGCCTTGGTGTATCAGACAGTGTATATACTATATGTGTTGCAGGCCTTGGTATATCAGACACTGTATATGCTATATGTGTTGCAGGCCTTGGTATATCAGACACTGTATATGCTATATGTGTTGCAGGCCTTGGTATATCAGACACTGTATATGCTATATGGGTTGCAGGCCTTGGTATATCAGACATTGTATATACTAGTTTTGTTGCAGGCCTTGGTGTATCAGACATTGTATATACTATATGTGTTGCAGGCCTTGGTATATCAGACACTGTATATGCTATATGTGTTGCAGGCCTTGGTATATCAGACACTGTATATGCTATATGGGTTGCAGGCCTTGGTATATCAGACATTGTATATACTATTTTTGTTGCAGGCCTTGGTGTATCAGACATTTTATATGTTATTTGTGTTGCAGGCCTTGGTATATCAGGCATTGTATATGCTATATGTGTTGCAGGCCTTGGTGTATCGGTCATTGTATTTGCTATTTTTGTTGCAGGCCTTGGTGTATAAGACATTGTATATGCTATTTGTGTTGCAGGCCTTGGGGTATCAGACATCTTATATGTTATTTGTGTTGCAGGCCTTGGAATATCAGACATTCTATATGCTATATGTGTTGCAGGCCTTGGTGTATCGGCCATTGTATATGCTATATGTGTTGCAGGCCTTGGTAAATCAGACATTGTATATAATATTTGTTTTGCAGGCCATGGTGTATCGGCCATTGTATTTGCTATTTTTGTTGCAGGCCTTGGTGTATAAGACATTGTATATGCTATTTGTGTTGCAGGCCTTGGTGTATCAGACATCTTATATGTTATTTGTGTTGCAGGCCTTGGTATATCAGACATTGTATATGCTATATGTGTTGCAGGCCTTGGTGTATCAGACATTATATATTTTATTTGTGTTGCAGGTCTTGGTATATCAGACATTGTATATGCTATATGTGTTGCAGGCCTTGGTGTATCAGACAGTGTATATGCTATTTTTGTTGCAGGCCTTGGTGTATCAGCCATGTGCATTACCTTCATTATGAACATTTATTACGTGATGGTGCTGAATTGGAGTGCCTTCTACTTTGTCATGAGTCTGACGTCAGAGCTCCCATGGGCTACCTGTGATAACGAATGGAATACTCCGATGTTAGTACAATTTAACTACTTGACAATAACATAAGTGTACATATTGGTATATTGAATGACTATCTTATTTTTTATTATATAACACACCAATGGCATAGTGTGGGTGCTGACCATGTCAATAAACGATAACTCGAACTACATTGTTTTGTTAAGATTGCAACAGGCATTTTAATAACGACGTCATAAGTATTAGATATCAGACGGTTATATAATCAAGCAGGATATATGTTCGTCTGTTTGTTCTTCCGTCTGTTGTCTTTAGCATAGTCATAGTTATCTGCCAACAGGTGCTGAATTTAAGAAAAAATAATAAGAAGACTCAAAATTTGTGCATTGTGTTACGGAATATAAAGTTGTTGGAAACTTTTAAATGTCAAGGTTGTTTTGGCTAAAAATAGAATAATACGTAAGTATGTCGTTCATTTAATACTTAATGTAAACAAATCTACTTAATGTAAACAAATCTACTTAATGTAAACAAATCCTTAATGTAAACAAATCTACTTACTGTATACAAATCTACTTAATGTAAACAAATCTACTTAATGTAAACAAATCTACTTAATGTAAACAAATACTTAATGTAAACAAATACTAAATGTAAACAAATCTACTTAATGAAAACAAATCTACTTAATGTAAACAAATTTACTTAATGTAAACAAATACTAAATGTAAACAAATCTACTTAATGTAAACAAATCTACTTAATGTAAACCAATCCAGTCGTTTGTACCGATACTAACATTACTGACAATATAGAACGTTTAACAAAACATCAATGTGTTTATTAAAGTCATAGTGTCATAGTACAATCAAGTATTTTGTTACATATTGATATTGCTAAATATTTTATACGAGTGTCGCAATAATTATTATCTGTATATCATTTCTGAAGATCATTCAGTTTATATTTTGTAACAGGTGTGTCACGGGAGCGGAATACAATTCCACAAGTACGAACATAACAGTGGATTCAACAGTAGAGTTTTGGAGGTAGTCTCATTTCTGACGTTATAGTATACATTTAGCGTTGTATCTTCACTTAGCAATAACATGTTGATTGTAGACAATCCATATCATAGCACTAAATGCTTGGGGCTAATGACGACAATTATATAGTATACATTTAGCGTTGGATCTTCACTTAGCAATAACATGTTGATTGTAGACAATCCATATCATAGCACTAAATGCTTGGGGCTAATGGCGACAATTGTATAGTATACATTTAGCGTTGGATCTTCACCTAGCAATAACATGTTGATTGTAGACAATCCATATCATAGCACTAAATGCTTAGGGCTAATGACGACAATTGTATAGTATGCATTTAGCGTTGGATCTTCACTTAACAATAATATGTTGATTGTAGACAATCCATATCATAGCACTAAATGCTTAGGGCTAATGACGACAATTGTATAGTATGCATTTAGCGTTGGATCTTCACTTAACAATAATATGTTGATTGTAGACAATCCATATCATAGCACTAAATGCTTAGGGCTAATGACGACAATTGTATAGTATGCATTTAGCGTTGGATCTTCACTTAACAATAATATGTTGATTGTAGACAATCCATATCATAGCACTAAATGCTTAGGGCTAATGACGACAATTGTATAGTATGCATTTAGCGTTGGATCTTCACTTAACAATAATATGTTGATTGTAGACAATCCATATCATAGCACTAAATGCTTAGGGCTAATGACGACAATTGTATAGTATGCATTTAGCGTTGGATCTTCACTTAACAATAATATGTTGATTGTAGACAATCCATATCATAGCACTAAATGCTTAGGGCTAATGACGACAATTGTATAGTATGCATTTAGCGTTGGATCTTCACTTAACAATAATATGTTGATTGTAGACAATCCATATCATAGCACTAAATGCTTAGGGCTAATGACGACAATTGTATAGTACGCATTTAGCGTTGGATCTTCACTTAACAATAATATGTTGATTGTAGACAATCCATATCAAAGCACTAAATGCTTGGGGCTAATGAGGACAATTGAATTATGGTAAAATCAAAAGTGCAGATTATTTAGGACATTATTATAACAGTATTATGCTGGCATTGCCATATTTATTCTGTTTTACCTTGAAATAATTAATTTAGATTATTTTCAATATAAGATATTAAATCCTAGCCTAACGACAGATTTGTGATGTTTAATCATTCGTAACATTGTATAAGCAGTACAAACAATGTGTTAGCAGGTTTTGACGATAAGTATTAGTAAATTAAACGTGTACGATGCTTTCAAACGTTAATTAATATGTAACAGAATAATACTGGTCTTAAGCGCCGTTACCTGTCTTTTGTGGTAAACGTGTTCTAGGTATCGGACCCTTCAGATGTCTGACAGTATCGAATCACCAGACGGTATTGTGATGGAATTGGTCATGTGTTCCATTGTCGTTTGGATACTGTTGTACTTGTGTGTCTGCCGCGGAATTAAAGTTACGGGAAAGGTAGGTATTAAAAGTAGGAAGATACAAACAGTTAAATGACAGATAAAAAGAGCAGGGCAGTTAATATTTATATAAGATAAAGTAGATAAATCATCTGAAAGGTACAAATAGTAGAACTGATGAAACAATGCCTAGATAATTATAGTCACATGTTTACAAAAACTGTTACATGTAGATATGTTAATATATAATTTTGATGACATTCGATGAACTTTGATAACACAAAGATAACGGCCCAATATGAAATATCTAAATATAATATTATTTTTTTGTGCTTTGTGTTGAACATGCTTCCCTAATGGACTGGTCTTATCAAGTCGAATAAACGTCAAGAAAGTGCACATACCGGACTAATAGAGTTTTTGTGACTGTATACATTACTAATTAACACGTGCAAATTGGTCACGCCCTGGACATTTTGTCCAGGCTATTTGATGATTGCCCAATCGATATTTAGTCCAGGTTTTGTCTGTGTTATTTGTATTTTTTGAAAAATATAGTATCCCATTTCTAGATAATGTATGTGACGTCACTCTTTCCCTACGTGATTTTGACAATCCTCCTCATACGCGGAGTCACACTAGATGGAGCGAAAGAAGGCATCAAGTTTTACTTAGAACCCAACTTTGCATACCTTCAAAATTATCAGGTAAGTATATTTTTCTTATTGTTTTTTAATAGCACGTCCGGTAAATTATTAAAAGAACTAACGTTAGATTGAAATTAATTGTGAAAAGATCGACATATCGATATATTTTGAGGAATAAAACAATATAAATGTTGTCAATAGGAAATTATTAGCTCAAAGTTTACCGATTAAACAAGATTCTTCAGTAGAAATGATCATGATTTATTTATCTTTTAGAAACATATTAAAAACGAAAATTGTTGTTTAAAAATAGCGCACGATGTCAATATTTGAAATATAAAAATGAATGGACAGACATTCCTAATCAACCCACGTGTTTACTCATGCATTTAATGTATTGTTCTAAACATTATTTTCCACGCCTATAATCTCTTACTTTTATTTTGAATTATATTCTAATTTATTTCCTTTTTCAATCCATGAAAGAGTCCCTCCCCTTTACATACTTTCTCCGTGTTTTGTTCGAGCATCCCATTCTATGAGAATTGTTATGCATAATACTGATAACAACATTATAAATGTTTTAAAATGTCCTGGCATCATTATGTTGTATGCTCATATTCGTATTCACATACTTGAATAAAACCAAATACAAAATAGGTCATATAATAATGAATTAGATATTTTAGTCTGATATCTCTATCTGTGTTATATGGCCTGTTCATTCGTTATATATCCATAGATGTATAATGTCCAATGTCCCTCGATGTCTTGTTTGGAGCCTGAATTATCTTACTTACATCATGAAAGAGTCTGTTAAAAGTAGTCAGACATTCTATTAAATACCATACCGATCATGTCATTCCAGGTACACGTCATATATAATTGTTTTTGTCTTTGTAAGGTATGGATCGATGCAGGGACACAGATTTTATTTTCGTTAGGTTTAACGTTTGGGGCTATGCCGATGATCGGTTCCTATAACAAAGTACACAATAACTTCTACAAGTAAGTATGTCACTATACGGGACGAAATCAGTACGCTTACAACATGTTAGGTTAGGAGCGCTATTATCAATATGATTATTAACATATGTGTTGTTACTTTCTGCAGCCGTGTTATCAGTATAACTATGAATATCATATTTTGTAACGATAACTAGCGGTATCATCATCATTATCATAATACGTCCAGGGGTGGTTTTATCAATATTACAATGGTACGCTCCTGATGGAAAATGATCTACATTACTGCTACACTGTACAATGGTACGCTCAGGATGGAAATTGATCTACATTACTGCTACACTGTCCAATGGTACGCTCAGGATGGAAATTGATCTACATTACTGCTACACTGAACAATGGTACGCTCAGGATGGAAAACGATCTACATTACTGCTACACTGTCCAATGGTACGCTCAGGATGGAAAACGATCTACATTACTGCTACACTGTACAATGGTACTCTCAGGATGGAAAATGATCTACATTACTGCTACACTGTACAATGTATGAGTAGAAGCTTTTGCTACGCTTAACGGCGGTATCACTAATAGACATATAAATGTTATGTTTAGGAACGGAGAAATGAACACAATAATTTCTCCTCAATGCAGGTCAAGGGACGGAGTAGTCAATATCACTATCAATGTTATGTTTAGGAACGGAGAAATGAGTACATTAATTTCTCCTCAAGGCAGGTTAAGGGATGGAGTAGTCAATATTACTATCAATGATATGTTTAGGAATGAAGAAATGAACACAATAATTTCTCCTCAATGCAGGTTAAGGGACGGAGTAGTCAATATCACTATCAATGCTATGTTTAGGAAGGGAGAAATGAGCACATTAATTTCTCCTCGAGGCAGGTTAAGGGACGGAGTAGTCAATATTAGCAACGGAGAAATGAGCACAATAATTTCTCCTCAATGCTATGTTTAGGGACTGCTTCGTCATTGCCGCCATCAATAGTCTGACAAGTATATATGGAGGATTTGCAGTCTTTTCTATCCTTGGATTCATGGCCAAAAGTCAAGGAGTATCTATTTCTGAAGTAGCTGATGCAGGTACCAATGCTATCTTAGTTCGATTCGTATTTATTTAAAAAAAAGTGATGGCACATTTTACATCATAAACCGGTATAACGCACAAATCACACATTGCCGCAATGAACTTTTTATGTTGCATGATAACAATTTAAAATGAAATCAAAATGTCTTGATTTGAACCATGATCTTTTAAATGTTTGGTAGAGGTGTCTGTGGTTTTGTTGAATCATATTCATTATTACTTATAACAGAAAAGTTTAGATAAAATAATAAATAAACTCTGTACTGAGAAAGTCACTATTCTTTTTATTTACCAAATTTATCAGTGACAACAAAAGCAATAACATGGATATTAATATCATAGACAAAGTCACGTCAGTAAACTTTATGATAAGCTCATTATCTATGTAAAAGAAGTTTTATCCTAAACAAGCTTATCAGAGACTACACAGATTGTTTCTTAGTAACACATCAGATGCGTTAGAAATACTGATTGTTACAAAACAGTATTTTACGTGATCTTGATTAATCACATTTATCTTAAAAAATACTCAAAAAACCCTACACATGTATCGATAAGATATGAAGATGGTGACCACAAAGTTTCGCAAACTGTTTTGTACAATATTAAAAAGCATTGTCTTTCACATAAATCGCATAAATCACAATTGATTATCAATTGTATTCTACAAAAATATACATCTATATTTTCTGGACTTTTATAGACATCAGATCACACGATCGATCAACATTCTGAATATCTTACACTTTACATGCTTTAATTATTATTTCATCCCTGTACGCCAGGCCCTGGTCTCGCTTTCATCACGTACCCTAAAGCTGTCACCCAAATGCCAGCAGCTCCATTCTGGTCAAGTTTGTTCTTTTTGATGCTCTTCGTTGTCGGCTTTGGAACTCAAGTAAGTATTCATAATAAACAATATATAACAAACAATTATGAAACGCAATAAAATGTACACATAATAATTAAGTTTTGCTTTTGCCATCATCAATGAAACAGTATCAACAAAATATGTTTAGAGTAGAACATGTAGCTGATAAATCGTAGGTTTACTTTCCTGGTAGCTACATTTTTAAGCAAAATTTGATTTAATTGATATCGCTAATGACCGCAGGAAGACGTTACGGTAAAAAGCGATTGAATATTATGTTGAAACTGTTATCAACAGCATAGCCGCTCGTTGGTTGAGCCGGGGCAGCTTACTCTTCAGATTATATAAAAATATATATATATATATAATGCGTGTGCAATTTCTTAATTCATCGTTTGGCGGAGTTCTATGAAACCCTTTCTTATAGATATGTAGTATGACCTATTTCTAGAGTGCAACTATATGATACACGTTTATGTACCTTTTCTATTTCTAGTCTGTTTAACGCTTTTTTAGGCACATTTTTTAACATTTTGATAAAAAGGTTTCATTATTGAAATGTTATCGTTTGTGTTAATATTGACAGATTGTTGGCATTGAAACCGTTGTTACCCCTATAGTAGACCTCTACCCCCGGAGACTGAGGACAGTAAAAGGAAAACTGCTTTTCTACGGCGTGTTTTGTGTTGTGTCATATATATTTGGGTTTGTCTTCCTTACAAAGGTAGGTTCTATATAGTATATATTCTACATAGTGTATCGTTCAAATACATGGAGGCTGGCGAAATGTCTTTTTTCGAAAAACTAGGTTATATGCTTGGAATTTGTTTATATACAGGATATGTCTTTTCTTTACAAGTTGGTTTAAGACAGGATATGTCTTTAAAACTGCAGATTAGCTTGCGTTTTCTCTGCATAGAGATAATACCGAGATGTATATTACCTATGTAGGTTGTATTGCAAAGGGTATGTTATTCCCATGCAGGCACAAACTTGTATAAGTAGGTTAACAAAAGGACGCGACTTTTACACACTTGAATACACTAGTTCCGTGTCTTCCTGTTCATGGACATTGAATACACTCTTAATAGCCCTGCAGTATCCCACTGTCTGTGGTAGTAATAGGTGACTAATATGTAAACCTGCATTATCGGATGTTTCCATCTATCCCCTCCTAAGGGGACAGTGAAGAAATCAAAACCGATCTGCTGCCCTCATTACAACATTATGGATAGGGTTCTATTCCAATAATTCCTGTCTTCGTTCCTGTTTTCTATTTATTATCTCCTCTCGATCCCATATGACCCTGAAAACGAAAACATATTCACTAATAGGTAAATTATTTACAGATTATGACTTTACAACTCCGGTATATACACGGAAAGTGTGTTTACCATACTATTTCTCCTGGTTCAATATATATCCTATGCATGAATTGGCCTTAGTTATACCGGTAGGTTGTTTGCAGTGTGCTTTTCCCAAGTCGTATGGTCAAATGAAGGGGAATGTGCCTTTTATATCCAGGAGAGAGACTTAGAGAACGTGTTTTAGGAAAACGGGAAGAATACATCGGTTGTTTCATTACTCTACAAACTAAGATTATAAAACACTCTTCATACCACTTCATTACAGACTGAGGTACAAAGAACTTGAAATCAAAGACATGATTGACGTGATCTTGTCAACTTGATGTTTATGTCGTTTTCCATTATGACAACAGTGGTTATCTAACTTTGATCAATCTGGCGACTTTTATGTAACGATAGATAACCTTAAGTTGGCGGTAATGTTCCAGAATTCTCTTATGATCCACTGTACTTGTCATTTTTTCTATTCTCAAATTTCTCTTCATGACAGGTTATATTTCCTTTTCATCATATTTTATTGATATTAAAAAACATTTTATTAAAAATTACTACAACAGCCTTTGTCCATATCAATTATCTCTCGATAGTGGCGGTTACACCATATTAGTGAAATAAACATAGGATTGTCATTATTAGTATGATACTTGTGTTTTTGTCAGAGATGTAGGGGGAGTGACTCTGATTTATCAGGTGTTAAAACGGGCAAACGTATCACTAGTCTATTTAATATATCAACCAGCTATTTAATTGGGAAAACAGTCTTTTCATTGATTGGCATACACTTAGTTTATTATATTTGATTTAAATGGATTCCTCCTATTTGTTACAAGATATATTACGAATACAGTTATTTAGATACGTTCAGAGTTCCATTGTATAGTATTTAACACATTAGATTGTTGATGAATGTTCATCGCGTCGCAACAGCTATGGTCTTCGTCAGATAATGTTTGTTATCTTGTTGTGTATGGTAAAAATAACATTTGATAAAGAATGGTGAATTAGTTTATGACAAAGGGTGATTTTCTCTGTACAGGGTGGAATATATGTGTTTAGCCTCGTGGACTACTACGGCGCCAGTGGCATGCTGCTTGTGTGGCAACTGATGTGGGAGGCTATAGCGATAGGATGGGTAGTCGGTACGTCAATACTAAATAACTACCTGCCGTTTTTCATTTTGTTACTTTGATATCTTGTTTCCCTATCTGATGCGATATTGATCTATAAATCCAGACAAAAAATGGTGTGACATTGTTTAATTACCTTTGGTATAAATATGGTGTGACATTGTTTAATTACCTTTGGTATAAATATGGTGTGACATTGTTTAATTACCTTTGGTATAAATATGGTGTGACATTGTTTAATTACCTTTGGTATAAATATGGTGTGACATTGTTTAATTACCTTTGGTATAAATATGGTGTGACATTGTTTAATTACCTTTGGTATAAATATGGTGTGACATTGTTTAATTACCTTTGGTATAAATATGGTGTGACATTGTTTAATTACCTTTGGTATAAATATGGTGCATTAAATATCACACGGATATCAATGACCGAGTAGCATTCTAGCTCAGGCATGTCATGCATTTTAATTCTTAAGATATACTGTAACAGATATCGTATATGCATGTTGTAGGGGCTGACTATTTCTACGATGCCATGGAATATATGCTGGGTTACAGGGTCGGACCGTGGGCCAGAATGTCTTGGCGATACCTTACCCCAACCTTAAGTATAGTATGTGCTTATACGCAAGCTTTGTCGTGTTTTCTTAACGTGTTGTTTTTCGGTTATCCCTATTTCATTAGAACGAATACTATTTAATTACTATGTTGCCGATACTACGGTCTTTAATCACTTCTAAATTTAGGAAAATAACGTTCTAATTCGTTAAGTATGTACTGCACATTCAATCTGTCCGTATATCTTTCTCACATCTAACATATGAGGCGACTGAGTTGATAACAAAATAATATCGGCATAACTGTCACAGCCGGCTTACTATTACTAACGAACTGTAACTCTCGAAATTCAGTGGAGATTCAGTCATTTTGACACTGTTAACTTGTATTCTACAATAACAGATTCATGTCGAAAGGACGGCGACAAATGCGTTTTATCCGTTTAAGACAATTTTTTATTTGTTTATTCTATCTTCGCGGGAAAAAAAAGGAAAACTAAAAACAGTGTACTTTTGGTATGTTTTCGCTTTGATACTGCGACAAAGAGTCATTGAGGGTAAAATAATCCTCGTTTTGCTTTATATTCCTTTTCAGATACAACAACAGCTGCAATATAAGTTTGATCACTTTTAACTCATTTGACAGTTGTTCAGCACGAACATATATCTGACGGCGTGATATCAAAGTATTCCATGACGTCACGCATAATAACGTCATCAAAATTTCATTTGAGCTTACATTTGTTACACCTAAATGCGAGATTTCATTATGATTTTAATGTTATCCAACCTTGAAAATATTTCTGAAACATATTCCTTAGTCGCTTAGTTACGACGGTAACACTTGCAAGTATAGTCACACTCTATATGATATAAAGTCCTTTGATATACTCTTATCTCATGCTTTTTTTTCTGGGCAGTGTCCTATGTCTATATGAGAGTAAAGATAATAATCTCACTACAATATATTGTACATATTGCTGTCGTATGTGGTAATCTATATATTATAAGTTTTCCGTCTATATATTATTAGTTTTCCGTCTAGTTATAAGTTTTCCGTCTATATATTATTAGTTTTCCGTCTATATAATATTAGTTTTCCGTCTATATATAAGTTTTCCGTCTATATATTATTAGTTTTCCGTCTATATATTATTAGTTTTCCGTTGTTCTAGCACTGTGCGTTATTTTGTAAGCATTTCAGAGTTTATCATCACTTAACTCATTCACCCCTGAAGACACTTGAACTCTTTCAATTCAAAGGTTGAAATACTTCATTATACAATTTCAGGGGTGAGTGAGTTAATTCAATCGCAGAACAAAACAATATATATATATATAACAAGCGATACCTTCCTTCTTATTTTGTTTAATCTTTTTATCGTCTAAGGCTCTTCTGGTCCTACAAGGACTTAACTTCAGTTTGCTTTCTGGAGCTGAGGGCTATGAGTATCCGGTGGGAGCGCATGTGTTTGGAACTATATTAGGCCTGGTACCCATATTGTTGTTGGTCTTCGTTGCAGTTTGGCAGATACTGCGTTCATCCGGATCTCTGATACAGGTATGGATGGTTCAGTTGTTACACCGGATGTCAGTACAGCTGTGTATGTGTAAATGTGGTACAGTGGGTACACATATGTGTCTGTACAGCTGTGTATGTGTAAACGTGGTACAGTGGGTACACATATGTGTCAGTACAGCTGGTATGTGTAAACGTGGTACAGTGGGTACACATGTGTGTCTGTACAGCTGTGTATGTGTAAATGTGGTACAGTGGGTACACATATGTGTCTGTACAGCTGTGTATGTGTAAACGTGGTACAGTGGGTACAAATATGTGTCTCTAATTATACATTTACAGTGTTTATTCGAGTGTATCTGTATAAATCAACTTTTCTATGCAGGTATATCCGCATGTTTACATGTGCCCGCGATTATACAGGTGTCTATGTACATATGCATGGTGTACTAATCTTAAACGCGTAGATGTGTCTACAGATTTATACGTTACAGTTCGTGCAGTATGGTGCCTTGTCCATACACTTAGAAACATCTTTTGTATTATTAAGTATCATCCAAAATATTCATCGGCTTGATTAGTAAATACGTAAGGAACTGATATTATTCTTCTCGGCTGATAGGCTTTCGATACCAACCATATATTTGTAAGGTTGCGTACATTGAGCATTCTATATATTTATTGTAATGATTGCTTCAATCTCAGCTAGTTATATCATTATTAACCTATAAAAACATATTTTGTGTTTTGCAGAGAATGAAAACGATATCAACCCCTGTGTTTGACAGGCCACATCACGGCTCCAGCACCAGTAACGAGTTTATGAAAAAACGCAAATTCGACACAATTTTTTGACAAAAACAATTGATATAGTCCTAACTGTGTCTGTTTTACTGCAAACAAGAGGAATACTAAATCAATGCTGTAAATATAGCTTTAATCGATAATTTTTAATAATATAACTAATGTATATCAAATGGTTAAGACGACAGAGTTATTAAACAAAAGAAACAGCAGTAGTCAAGAAAAGAAGCAGTTGCTATACGTTTCCCCTTGTACAACAGCAGCAACTATAAAGTCCGGGTCCACAAATATTTTCCTTCCACGTGAAATTCACTGAGACAAAGCAATTTTGACAGATTTGCGTACTCGTATATTGCTATCAATAAAATCTCTTTATCATTCAGAGGATTGCTTAAGTACCACAAAACAATCTGAATTAAACGTTTTATTCCTTTAGTCATAAAACATAACATTCGAACCAATAGGATTGGAAATAATAACTCCTTGTCTTTTCTTCCATCCACATGCTCGCTAAAAGTTCCAAAACTAAGGACCACTCTGCCGTATTAAACACTGCCTTTTGTAGCCTTATACTATTGTTGTCGATTATCGCAGTAGACATTTGTTTGTTCTATATCTTGTTTTTGTTTGAAATGTTTTTTATCAAATGTGAATTACAATTAAATGCTTTTTACTGGCATACATGCAGAACGTTTTGTTTCATATTTCTCCCATTTTTGATAATGTTCGCTTCTCTTGATCTCCGAAACGACGACATTTTGGTCTTCCTTTCTCCAGCTCCTGTCAATAACAATCGTGAAATGCTGGAGCGGCTTCAATAGAACATATTGACCACACAATAATATGAAATAGGCACTACCTATAAGCGAGCGCACATAGTTCGGTAACCTTTGTGATGATAGTGTAGATCTCGGGCGCCTGCGGCGTCCCAGCTAAGGGCTTTAAGGTTACAAAACGAACAGAATTCCTCCTTAGTACAAAAGTGCGTCGAATATTCTGACATGAAAAAGAAATAAATAGTGGTTATAAAAAATAGTATCTTAATTAAGAAAACCTACCAGATAGTTCATGCAGGACTTTTTGTTGTTACTAATTTACTATTATTTCAACACCTTTGTCAACATATCGCCTGATCCCTTTTAGCATCAAAATGTCTCAAGGCAAAATGACAGAAATAGGATATACTGTGCAAAGAACACATTTGTTAAAAAGACAATGGATTGCAATGCAATCCATAGTCCCTCACCGGTAAGAATTGCTATATTTAACAAACAGTACGCTCATGTCAGGAAGCATAGGTCACAGTGAGGTTATAGTGATATACTTCACTCCGCCATCTCAAGATGTCCTTGTTCATTAAATCAGGCTACTCAGGGTGAAATAGTTTAGAAGATATCTTCAAATGTAAAGGTCAAAGGTCAAGTCATTGATCACAATGACCTAATTCTGTACGCTCTGCCATCCTAAGATGTCCTTGTACACCAAATCTAGTTACTCCAGGTAAAAAAGCTAAATTGCCTAGCCCATTGCCCCGAACTAGTAAAAAATGTCGATGTTTACTATAAAACATCAGTCTGGCTTGTATTAAGTGCATTCCTGGGTGGTGACAGACCTGGCTGGGGGGAACTTTGGTAGTTGTCTATCATAATAATAATAACTTGAGGTTCCTATATACCGCTTTATTACAACCTAGTTCGTAGGTCATCTCAAAGCGATTCACAAATTATTAGCCATGGTTATAGGACCTTAATTTCTCAATATTCCAATATTGGATAAGCAATGACTGCAATATCCATTTCTTTTGAATAACCAAATGATAAAACAATTTAATCATTTACATTGTAATGTAGGAAAGCATTATATCGTGATCATATTTTGAACCTAAAGCATGATACCACTGTACCAGTATCGTCAGAATCCAAATGCTGCAATAGATATAAACAGGACCATTGCAATTACAACACATAAATGATACATAAACAACAGTGATCTTATGTTATACAAGTGAGACATGGACCTGAGTTGTGATGCAATTATATTATTTGTTGTAGTGATGTAAAAATCAAACAAAAACAAATAAATATTCATATAATCCAAAAAAAAGGCTTTTTGGATTCCTTGAGAGAAATTCATGTTAGGAGTGGCCAACATATATTTTTGATGTATCATTTATGGTGGGTACATGATTGTCTGACATACGGTATATATCGCTGACAATTTTCCGAAAAAAAGGATATAGTGAAATAGTAAAATAAAAATATCCTTAATTTTCCATTAATATTAATTATGATTCTGCAATATAAGTGTCAAAAATAAGATGGACACATATCCTGGTACATGCAATTCAAATCCGTACATAAGCCAAGGTTATTCATGACAAGTTATCACGGTTCCCCCCAGTTGAATCTCTACATTTACTTGTAGTTGACAGGGGAAACCCCTTAAATTCCCATAATTATAGGAACCTTCATATTATATTTTTGAATTTTAGATATCTCATATACCAGTATTTAGTTATCAAAATGGTAAACCTTATAAAAAAAATGTGGGTAGGTTTTAGAATGTGTATAAACACCGGATAAAAAGTGTTGCTGTTATTTACTGGTGTGTATAGATTTATTACTAACCGAAAGTATCCCGAAACCGAGCCCCTGTGTGTTATTCATATGACTATGATACACCTATGTACCAAACTTCAGCTAGATATTTAAAAATTGACCGAGTTATGATAAATTGATTTTGTACGGCCGGTGGCGTGGCACACGTGTGTAATGAAATCTACAGATCGTGAAGCATCTTCAAACTATATCTCTAAAATTAATCTAAAAAGTAATCGACATCAGACGATATATTATACATATGACTATAACACACTTAATTGGATGCACAAAACCAATTCATCAAAAAGTTAAAAGCTTTTAAGGGTGCGTCAGTTATGAAAATATTTCGATTTGCTCAAGACAATATCAATGATTTCAGCTTCTGAAAACAAACCTGACGTGTTCACAGCTGCAAGACTTTTCAATTACCTCCAATACAATACAGTCAAAACCTGCCATACTACATATTATATTGTTTTGTAAATTATACACTTATATATCTCGATGCATAAGGCTATGAATGCAAATCACATATTAAAGCAGTGCTCGTCATAAAGTTGTTTACAAACTAACAACTCAATTATGTAAACATCTCACAAACGTGATAGTTTTTTAAACTGGGCTTGATCGCTGAGAAATGTTGCGTCAATTGATCAATGATAAGTGTTTGTAACCAGGTATCTCAGTGGTATATAGTGAGAGTTTGTAACCAGGGATCTCATTGGTCTCTAGTAAGATTTTGTGTCAATGTATCTCAGTGAACTATATTTTATTGTGATCAGGTATCTCAGTTGTCCATAGTTAGTGCGTCTGTTACTGTTCATGACTAGGTACATGTAACTCAGTGAACTATTACCAGTGATTGTGACCAGGTATCTCAGTGGTTTATAGTATAATTAGAGTGTGTGACCAGATATATCAATGATCTGTAAGTAGAGTTTGTGAGTGACCACGTATCTGAATGGATTATACACGTGGTTGAAAATAGACTAAAACGTTACATGTAATCAGTTAATCAATTTTTCATTTTCATATTTAAAAACTGATTATTTCACGTTTCGAAAAGTGAAACATATGAAAATTAGTCAAAGTCATGGACCTAGGTCTAGTCTAATTCCTTGTTGAAATGACGAATCATATCTACATGTAGCTTATTTTTCCAGATCTCGTGAGTTACGTCCCCTTAACACCTTTCGACTCATAGGCCAGACCACGGAATTAGATTGCTATTTAAGTCCGTGCTAGAATTGACCATTTTCAGCCAGTAATTAAACTTGCTTAATTATTCTGATACCTAATTATTTCATCAGAAAGAACACCTTAAAAGACGATTGACAAAATGACACTCTAAAGTGGGTTTTTTTACCTAGGGGGCATATACACATCTTTTATAATTATTCATGTTTTGTAATATTTTATTTTGAGCACACGGCTTCTCCCCCATAAAAAAATCAAAAGGTTTGCAAGTATGCATTTATCATTTATAACCATATATCATTTGTTTACAAAAGTGCAATTATTGCCTTCATTAAATAGAGAGCATAAATACAATTAAAGGGTAGAACAAATGTTGAAAACCGAGCAAAGCAATTGGGCTTAAACCATAATTATGTTCAATGTATTTCACGAAACTTGTCCAAGTTATATTACAGAAAGATTTACGAGGGTTAATGAACGCCATGGATACGCAACTAGAAAATCATCTTTAAACTTTACAGTGCCATGTGCAAAAGGTCAGATTCAAAGACTTTCTTTTACAACGGGATTCAGATTTGGAACGTTTTACCTTCTGTTATACGGTCTATAACAAACAAAATAAATTTTAAGAAGGAGTGAAAACATTTTTACAGCAGGGTTCTTGATATGTTATGTTATGTGTAACACATAATGCGTTTTATGCAACAGAGACCGTTAGTGTTTTAACTTATATGAATAATACCATATGTGACACAGAACATAGAATGGTGATGTTAATTTTGTACTCAATATATTACCCTGTGATAAATATATGAGTGTATTGACTTGTAATTGTATTTGTAAAATGATCTATTTATGTTATATGTTAGGGACCACTGTGGAAATAAGTCTGTGACTTTACTGTGTTATCCTGGTAAAACATGTATTGTCCATGTGATGTACTTTTATGTATTGATGCAATGTTTTACCAAATAAATCTATCTATATATCAAACAAATATTAGAAATAATAACGTTAATGGTAAAAGACATTGTACATGTAAAGGGGACTTATTTATTTCAACAAATTTTATTGGACAAAAAAATGAACAATTGGATGAAACAAGAGGATTAGCCTATATATAAGTCTTCTCCTAACTGGTATAGATGAACAGAAAGCATAGATTTAATACATTGCTCAACAAGACACACTCATATGCACTTACAGACACACTCATATGCACTTACAAAAATATAGGCTAGAACGTTAAACCAAGAAACATTATTTGATGACATTTGAAAACTTATAAAATACTTTCTTAGCAAATCATATATATGTTTGTACACTCACAGTCCATAACACACATACAAACACACACTCACATACACACATATGTATATAATATGCATTAAGGAGACTTAATGGAATGCATTTTTTGTAAGTTTCGTTGTTTTTAATTAAATAGAAGCGATAAAACTGATTAAATAACTTGTAAATACATTTACAAAGAAACTCTTCGTCTGACCGGTTCTCCTTTACACTGAAGTGACTAGACTTGCACAGGCCTATCTTTCGTGAAGCCGACGGTTGTTTTCTTGTTGAAAGAGTGAAAAACACATATTAAAATTGGTAGACCTTTGAGTCAAACATAAAACTTGTCTGTGATGAGGTCAAAACATGTAAAATTCACTCTAAACTCTTGTTGATTCCTCTCGCGTTTGGTATAGCAGGCTTCCCGGTGAAGTTTTCTGTTTGGGTCTTTTTCAACCAATCAGAATGTGGCGAATTTTTAAGTCCGCGACTTTCAAACCGCAAATATTTTTATTGCTTAACCTGATTCGTCAAAAACGTCGAAAAAAAATTAAACCTGTTTTAATGAAGAAACATTTGAAACCATAACGAATA